CAACTAGGACTCCAGAAAACAGATCAATGAAGGAAACATGCTCTCTATCTTCTGAAAGACAAATGATGGACTCAAAATATAGAAAAAGACAAACAATTTTGAAGATGGATTCCTCCCCCCCTTAAATATACTTGTTACAGAGATGGTTTTCTTTTTATATTTGAGTTACTAGCAACAGAGGGGTAGATTGGTGACACAGTGGATGAAGTGTGGGGCCTGGAGTCGAGAAGACATCTTCTCGAGTTCAAATTGGGCCTCAGACTCTTACTAGCTGTGTGACTCTGGGCAAGTCGTTTAACCCTGTTTGCTTCAGTTTCCTCATCTGTAAAATGAGCTGGAGAAGGAAATGGCAAACTAAACCAGTATATTTGCCAAGAAAACCCCAAATGGGGTCATAAAGAGTTGGACATGACTGAAATGACTGAACAACAAAACAACTAGCAATAGAGTCACAAAAAAAAGGAGAAAAGAAAAAGTGTCATTGACGCATTTTTAAAATTTTTTTTATTTTTAACATGTGTTTTTAAAACTTTGGGTTACAAATTTTCTCCCTTCCTCCCTCCCCACCCACCCTCGTTGAAAAGGTAAGCATCTCGATACAGGTTATAGATGTGTAGTCTTGCAAAACCCTTCCATAGTAGTCCTGTTGTGAAAAACTAACTATGTTTTCCTTCATCCTATCCTACCTCTCATTTATTCTATTCTCTTTTTTGACCCTGTCCCTCCTCAGAAGTGTTTGCTTTTGATTATCCCCTCCCCCAATCTGCCCTCCCCTCTATCATCTCCCTGCTCGCTTGTCCCCTTTCCCCCTCATTTTCCTGTAGGGTAAGATAGATTTCCATACCCCATTGTGTATGTTATTCCCTCCTTAAGCCAAATCCTATGAGAATAAGATTCATTCATTCCCTCTCACCTTCCCTCATTTCCCCTCCACTGTAAAAGTCTTTTCTTGTCTGTTTCATGTGAGTTATTTTACCCCATTCTACATCTCCCTTTCTCCTTCTCCCAGTATAATCCTCTCTCACCCCTTAGTTTTATTTTCCAGATATCACCCCTGCATCTTCAACTCACCCTGTACCCTCTATCTATCTGTGTATACATACATATAATTTTTTCCCTCCCACTACCCTAATACTGACAAAGGACTCAGGAGTTACAAATATCATCTTTCCCTGCAAGAATGTAAACAGTTCAACTTTAATAAGTCTCTTATGATTTCTTTTTCCTGTTTTCCTCTTTCATGTTTCACTTAAGTCTTATATTTAAAGGTCAAATTTTATATTCAGCTCTGATCTTTTCCACAGGAGTGCTTGAAAGTCCCCTATTTCATTGAATGACCATTTTTTTACCCTGAAGGATTATACTCAGTTTTGCTGGGTAGGTGATTCTTGGTTGTAGTCCTATCTCCTTTGCCCTCCGGAATATCATACTCCATGCCCTCCGGACCCTTAATGTAGAAGCTGCTAAATCTTGTATTATCCTGATTGTGTTTCCACAATACTTGAATTGTTTCTTTCTGGCTGCTTGAAGCATTTTTTTTTTAATAAAAAGGGAACTCTTTATTAAAACAATGAAGAATAAAGATAAACCAGCATTTCTAGATACTCTCTAGAAATAGGATATACACATGACTATTGTGAAAATATGCTTAATATGAATGTATAAGTAGAGCTTATATCAGATTGCGTGCTGCATTGGGGAGGGAGGGGAAAAGGAAGTGGAGAAATTTTTTAAAAATTTATTTGTTTTTTAGTTTTCAACATTCACTTCCACAATATTTTGAGTTCCAAATTTTCTCCCCACTTTATCCCTCTCCCCACCCCAAAATGGCATTTATTCTGAATACCCCTTCCCCTAATCTGCCCTCCTTTCTATCTCTGCCCTCCCTTCTCTTATCCCCTTCCCCTTCAATTTTCCTGTAAGGTAGGATAGATTTCTATACCCCATTGCCTGTATATCTTATTTCCCAGTTGCATGTGAAAACAATTTGTTTTAACATTTGTTTTCAAAACTTTGGGTTCCAAATTTTCTCCCTTTCTCCCTCCCCACCTACCCTCTTTGAAAAGTCAAGCAATTTGGTGGAGGTTATACATGTGTAGTCGTGCAAAACACTTCCAGAGTAGTCATCCTGTGGAAAACTAACTATTTCCCTTCATCCTATTCTGCCTGCTATTTATTCTATTCTCTTTTTTGACCCTTGTCCCTCCTTAGAAGTGTTTGCTTCTGATTACCCCCTTCCCCGATCTGCCCTTCCCTCTATCGTCCCCCTGTTCTCTTGTCCCCTTGTCCCCTATTTTCCTGTAGGGCAAGATAGATTTCCATACCCAATTGAGTATGTATGTTATTCCCTCCTTAAGCCAAATCCTATGAGAATAAGATCCACTCATTCCCTCTCACCTTCCCCTCCTTCCCCTTCACTGTAAAAGTCTTTTCTTGTCTGTTTTATGTGAGATAATTTACCACATTCTACCTCTCCCTTTCTCCTTCTCCCAGTATAATCCTCTCTCACTCCTTAATTTTATTCTCCAGATATCACCCATTCATTTTCAACTCACCCTGTACCATCTATCTATCTATCTATCTATCTATCTATCTATCTATCTATCTATCTATCTATCTATCTATCTATCTATCTAT